TCTCTCTCTCTCTCTCTCTCTCTCTCTCTCTCTCTCTCTCTCTCTCTCTCTCTCTCTCTCTCTCTCTCTCTCTCTCTCACACACACACCATCAAAACAAAACGCCTGCCATGCCTGGACACGATCACAACTCATTGCCTCACACTTGAATCTGAAAGACGGGGCGAGGTGTATTATGTCCCCGTCACTTCCCACGCATTCCCAAGCATCCAACTAGCAACTTTTGCCTGGTTTGCGGCACTGGGGGCGACCTTGTTGTCTGCGATGGTTGCCCTGGCGCTTATCATGCCGCTTGCATTAAATCAACCTTTGCGTTTACCGGTATGTACTTTTTGGTTCTTTGGGCGGACGTGGTTCAATGTAGCTCTGCCTAGGCCCGTGCGAGAGCAACTGCTTGTTCGATTGGCTTCTCGGACTCACGTATGATGCGCACTGCAACAATCCTTACTAGGCAAGCCTGATGAACAAGGGCAGTGGTTCTGTCACGACTGCCTCACTGGAACGAAATCCATGATCCACGATGTTGTTTGGGCCAAGGTGAGGCTGAAGCGAGCAGCTACAACCAGTCTCCATGCAGATGGTCGCTGTGATGCTTGTTCGTACAGGCTTTCGATTGTGCAGCAGAGAAGAGGCGATCTTTTTATTCTCTTGTGCTTACTCGGTTTTGCCAATGGACATTTGATAGTATGGCTCGTACCGATGGTGGCCGGCCGTCATTTTGAGCGCGACCGAGTACCCGGAGCGCTGCGGCCAGAGCCCAGCCGAGGGTGAGTCTCGTTGTTGACCAACGTTTGGGGGTATCTGCTGGGTACGACTCCCGTGTTATTGCTCGAGTTTCACATCCATGCAATTGTGAATGTTAGGCAATTTCTTGGTCAAGTTTCTCGGCTCAAATGACGTTGCCTGGGTGGGCCACGAGTCCATCATTCCATTTTCCAACGGCGATCAGAAAAACTCTTATTTTACTCGCAACCTCAAGGCTGCGAAAAAGTCTTTTCAAGAAGCCGTGACCCTGGCCCTCGACCTGTTCACTGAACGAAAGCAGGAGCGGGTGCGTGCCTTTTGTTTGCCGGATTAGGAAGGACGGTCAAACTCAACAGGTCTCCGCGCTCATGCTGCGGGCTGCCTGCTTTGTGTCAGGAGGATCAACTGGCTGCTATTCGGGGCAAAATTATTGAGCGGCCACCCCGCTTCAAGCTTATCAAGCGAAATGTCTACCTGCCTCCGGCCGCCAAGCCGCCACACCGTAAAGAGGAACAGGAGATTTGCAGATGCGACGCGGCACTCAACTGTGCCGACGTGAGTCTCAAATTTTTATTCGAGCGCGCAGGGCTTGCTAGCCCGCAGTTGTGCTTGCCTTTTTTTATCGTGCCTCGGAAGCACCTTTTTCGACTGGAAGACTCACCCTACTTTTCGGCATGCGCGTGTAGATGCACTCGTGCTTGAACCGCATGATGTACATTGAGTGCGACGCCAAATGCTGCAACAATGGTAAAAACTGCCGCAATCAGCGCTTTCAGCGCCGCGAGTACCCAAAGCTAATCCCGTTCAAGACGGAGCACCGTGGCTGGGGGCTACGCTTGGGACAGGACGTTGAAGAGGTCTGGTGTTTCCTGCAATGATTTTGGTGTACAGAGTGTGTGTGTGTGTGTGTGCGGGCGCAAGGGTAGCACGATTGAATGCTACATGTGAAATCTCACGCGACATGGACATGGCGTGCTGCTTTGTCAAGGGGGATCTGGTCATCGAGTACGTGGGCGAAGTCATTGATGGTGCTGAATGTCGTCGGCGCATCGACCAGTACGAAGAAGTAAGTTGATCTACGTCTTGCCCTTGACGCGTTTCCCCTGTGTATCTCCTCACCGGTGGTGATCAACTTGTTAGCGCAACACTAGTAGCTTTTATATTTTGAGCCTGGGCAGCGACACATTTGTGGATGCTCGGGAAAAGGCCAACATGGCACGCTTTATCAACCATTCATGTGATCCCAACTGCGTAACACAGGTAAGCCGGTTGGAGAAACATCTAAACACTTTTTTGTCACTTCTGATGTGGTTTGTCGGAAAATAATCTTTGATCTAGAAATGGAACGTGCTTGGCGAAACGCGCGTTGGCATTTTTGCAAAGCGCGCCTTGGCCAAGGGAACGGAGCTGACTTTTGACTACATGGTACGAGTGCGCTGCTTCATCGCCATCGAGACACGGGCATCATGTCGTTGTGGTTTTACACAACCTCCACAATCTCATCTTTGGGCTCATGCGGCATGGCCCGATGCAGCTGGACTGCCTCAACAGCGTGAAGAAAACACCGTGCCATTGCGGCGCGCCCAATTGCTCCGGCTTTATCGGGGTCAAGGTCAGCTTCGTATACATTGTCCGTGTGTGATCACAGGCAACAACGGTATCAGATCTCAACCGTGTTTGCCGGCGCTTTGTGGTGTCTGGTCGCACAGCCGAACCGAAGTGGCACCACGTACGAAGACTTGGACCGCACTGACGACGAATGTTTCATATGCAAGGATGGCGGTGACCTCCTCATGTGCGATAAGAAGGTAGGAAACGCAAAACGTTGTAAACAAGGGCTGATAACTGTGATGCAACATCCAAGCCGCGGCAGGTTCGGCGTGCACGTTTTGCGTAGCCGTGATCTCACCTTTTGGGGCCGTTGGTTTAGAACTGCGACAAAGTGTATCATCTGGCATGCCTGGGCATGAACAAGGTGCCTGCAGGGAAGTTCATTTGCCCACACCACGCCTGCCTCAAGTGCGGTCGCAAAGCCACTATTTTCTCCGAGGTGAGCAACGGGTCCTGTCAACCCGATCTGGGTGTAGAGCTGCATTGGTTGGCCTGATCTCATTGAGGCTATGCTTCATAGACGGGACCAGAGGCGTACTGCTCCATGAAGCATATTGCCACACCAGAAGTGCGAGCGCTGTGTGAAGGCAAGCGCCCACCTGTGACTTTTAAAAGTCCAGTGCCTGTCCTTCCCGCCGTCTTTGCAAATGGTACCTGGGTATGTAGACTGCAACACGCAAGGGCGAAGGCCATGACCATCCAGAAGAGGGGTGCCATCTGCTCACACAAACCCGGTACCTAATGGGAAATGTGTCGATGTGTCTTGGTCACTAGGCCAAGCGCGCCAAGCGCGCCAAAGCTGACCCGACGTCCACAACACAGGCGCAAGCTGCTTCGGCATGACCCTTATATAGCCCACGCAATTATTTTGAATGCCGTTGTCTGCAAAGCATGTCATGAGCATTCTCCCGCCTCATGCCGTGCATGCACATGAGGTTTCGCGAAAACGAAATCGACTCGAAACAACTATCGGCAGATGGGAACAACAAAAAAGTTGAATTTCCTTCAATTTTCACAAAATTTTATTCAGCATCGTTCTTAAGTGTTTTCAACCTCGATGGCAGCTTTGCAGGTGTCGTGTTTCCATGGTAAATGAGGATACAACGGGATACACTTTTTAATTCATCGGTTGCCATTCACATGGGGAGCATTCGGGAAGATAAGCTATCGAAAATTATAATATCCACCAAACAGCAGACAGCTGCTGGAAGCCTAGCTGTTAGCGTCAAATCCGTGCTTCCACGCATTTGCTGGAGCCTGACACTAGCAGCCAGCACAGTTCATCCTAATCGGCTGTGTAGTATACAACCAGCTCGGGATAGATTTGCGTATTGTCAAACAAAATGACCTCGTGAAATTCCCTCGGCGGCGTCGCAACAACAGAGTCATATCTAAGGAGATTTTCATGATGAACGCAACAGCCAGATAAGAGCTGGTCAGGCGCGCCGCTGAAAAGTTGCATGCAATAGACAGGCGATTCGGTCCAACGCACCGCTCGTTGTTGGGCGCATCGGGCAGCAGCGGGGGGGCCAGCGCCCCAGAAGGAGGTTTTGGATGGGCATAGGCATGACCCAGTAGTGCTCGCGTGATGATGAGCATCCGTTCGCCGTTGGGTCCAGCACCGGCGTACTGATGACTCTAGAATCATGTAAGCGCGTACTTCGTCAGCACAACAGCGCTCGGATAAACAGGCAGCACTGAAAGGCAGCGCTGTCATACCTTGCCGGGATGGTCGGCCATGTAAACGCCAAGACCAAATCGGTGGCCTGCGCTGCTGCCGGCAAAGCGATAGTCAAAGCCCAGGCGCACAATTTTGTCGCGCACTGATCTGTCTGGGCCGATGCCGTGGAGCAACAGGCGCTCTTGACAGGCAGTATCGCGAAGCAAGGCTGGAAAGCCTGGGAGCGCATCCAATGTGGCCGTTTGAAGCTGATCATTGTGCTCCTGACGTTTGATGCGGTGCAACATTTCCCGTCGCTTGGCGCTGTAGCGCTCCCACAGCACGGGATTCTGCACACGCTCGACTCGTAGCACTGCCACATTTGCTGGTCCTCGCCCATCACTGCTCAGCTGCTTCAACAAGTCAGTCACCTAGCCACCCCAGTAGATTAAAATCAGACGACTCGTGGAAGAGCAAAAAAGGTATTGAGCAACACACCTCTGCAGTGAGGTCGGGCGCGTCACGCAAAACGTCAATGGCTGGCCCGACTTGAGCGAGGGCAGGCTGCTGCGCACTCTGCGCAGCGCTGAAGAGGCTTGGCCGTTGTTTCGGATCCGTTGCGAGAAAAGCCCGCGTTTCCTTGTACAAATCGCTCGTCGAATCGCACATCTGCAGCAAAGGTCAGTAAAGTGATTTTCAGTCACATGGGAGGCGCGGGGCTCAGCTGCCCTTTCCAAGACATCATCACAATACGCTCACCTCAGCCGCCAAGTGCGAAAAACAGCAATCTGCATCTCCAGCTCCTGCATCCCATTTACATTTGTCAGCAAGCTGGTCCGTGGGTAAACGAGCAGGTGGCACCGTTTGCGGGAACATGTAGGTGTTGTAGAGAACGCAGCCAAAGGAAAAGGCATCCTGTGCCGGGCGTGCCCCCACTCGGCCCAGCCCAAAAAGCAGTTCGGGTGCCACGTAGCCGGCCGTGCCCGACGCAGCGGTGACCGTGTAGGGAAGCATGGTGGCCGCGGCTGCGGCCTTGGCAATGTCAAAATCGCCGAGCCGCACAACAGGCTGGTCCTCCGAGCCGTCCAGCATGACGTTGCTCAACTTGACATCCCGGTGCACCAGGCCCTTGCTATGCATAAAGGCCAAGGCCGTGCGCAGCTGATTCATCAAACCTGCAATCACGGTCGAGGTGGCCAGGTGGCGTGCCTTGCCGAGCCACTGCTGCAAATCACCCTGTGTACACCACGGCTGCACCAGGTAGGCGCTCGGGTGGCCATCTCGCATGTCCATGAGCGCACCAAGGACCGGAATGATGTGTGGGTGCTCAAGCTGGCGCATGGCGCGGAGCTCACGCAGAAATGTACGACACTGGTCCTGCTTGTGTTGCTCAGCAAGTGCATACTCTTTGACAGCCAAGTCTTGCTCAGGAAGATTTGGCAGCGCGGCGCGGGCTTTGTACACCTTGTGATTCTGGTTGTATTGGAGAGACAACTGACCCAGGCTGGAGAGCGTCAAACCCCGGTCTACTTCAGTCATAGCCTCCAGGATGAGACTAGTGGGAAGATCGGCGCCGAAAACGGTGCGGAGTTGCTTCCCCAGCACACTCTGCTCAGGGTGCAAAAAAACTAGCAGAGCTGGAAAGTGTTGATGCAGCAGCTGGGCGAGGGCCGCGACATGATCCACATGTGGTTCAGCCGAAAGCTTTTGCTGCAAGGCGACGAGATGTTTTCTTTTCTCCTGCAAATCATCTTCGAGGGCAGGGCGTAGCTTGTCTGGAGCAAAACTCAAGAATGCTGTGGTTGCCTGAATTTGCTCCTGCAGCTTGGCCATTTCCTCGTGTGCAGATACAACTTGATCCGCGTTGCTCTGCATGATTTCATGGGCATATTCAATACACGAGGTCAGGGCAGACAGCGTCGTGGTCTGCCAGCCGATCATGTCTTGCAGCTGCTGCGCCAGAGCCTGTGACTCGTGCAGAACAAACGTCAAGTACCAGCCCTGATGCTCGTACTCTGGGGGTGCTTGCCACAGAGCAATTTGTTCCAGACCATTTTGCTCGGACAAGCTCAGCTTTTCGTGAGCCTGGCACAGCTGCTCCCAGGCCTCGGGCAATGCTTCGGCTGGCGGCGCTGCGTCAACCTCTTGACAGTGCGCAATTTTTCGCAGCGTGTCCACACGATGAATCGTGTCGGTGGTTCCCGCTCTGGCCACGGCAACCAGCGCATCGATGAATGTCAGAATTAAGGCCTTGAGGTTGTAGTTGGATGAGGAGAGCAATTCTTGTAGCTCGGGTCCAACGCCGCTCAGGGCAATAACCTTGTCCAGGGCGGCTGCCAGGTCGGTGGGCGGTGTTTCTGGTGTGGACGCTGGTGTGGTGGACGGCGCGGGGTATGCTGCCAGCGCAGCTTGTAGCTCGCGAAGAACCGGCTGCAGGTCAAACTGCTTTGTGAGCTGATGCAGCTCTTGGAGCACCGATTCTAGGTTGTCTGAGTTGGGGTCCAGCTGGCTCAGGCGGCTGTTCAACGCTTCAGGCGCCTGCAGTGCTTGATCGAGCGCAACAAGTGCCTGAGTGGTGGTCACCTTGAAGGCAGCCCAGTCCATGGATGAAAAGAATAATGGCGCCCCATCAATAGTTTTTTTCATGTTGGCAAGCGCGCCGCGGTTGGGGAGGTGCGAGACAGCCCCAGTGATAAAGGCATCGAGATAAGGGAGAAGATGGGTGGTGGTGCGCTCGGGCAGGAGCGGCTTGAGCCACTTGTCCACCGCCACCACAACAGAGGCCGTGGTCTAATGAGGGGGGGTTGTGCGGTGCCGTTGGCCGTGGTTAGGTTGGATGAGGCTGTGGGGGTGGGGGCAGGAAATGCATTGGGAAATCAAGCGAAGAGCAGACTCACCTCGAGGGTGGGTGCGGGGCTGGGCAGGGGCGGCAGCCAGGCGGAAGGCGATGCGACGTGGGCAGCAAATACGGGCTCCAGCTTGTCGCCATGCCCGCGTTGACATCCGAAATCAAGGGGTGTTTGTCCACTCTGAAACAGTCAAGTGATCGGGGCGTGTGAGGTGGGCAGCGACGCGAGGCTTGAGTTGGGTGATATGCATTTGCGTTTTCACAATAAAAAGCGAGACAACAATGCTTCAGAGGTGCCGAAGCCGCTGGACGCGAGAGCGATGTACAAATGGTGCAGACAGCAGGCAGGTAGCAGGGGTTCGAAAGAAGGCGCGCCAAGGAAAACAAAAAAAAAGGAGAAAACAAAAACGGAAAAAAAGAGTGCCATCGAATGGCTAGGGAGGCAGAGGCGTAATGGCAAGGGTGGAATGGTGCCTGGATAGAGTAGAAAAGGGGGGGAGCACGGACGGCAGACGGAAGACACCAGCGGGGCGCAGGGCGGGGGCGCGGGGAGCACCGACAACGGGCGGACGCAAAACGGGGGAAAAGAAGGATAGCGGGAAAGAATAAAAGGAGCCAGGGGGGAAGAACGGACGCGCACGGGTGGACAGGGTGTAGCGGAGAGGAGGGACGGGGGCAAAGGCGACGGGGTAGAGGGAGCAGGAGCAGCAGTCAGAGGGGTAAAGGGGAAGGAGGGAGGTACTGTACTGACGTTGTTCTTGACTTCAGCATCAGCACCGTGCTTCAACAGCATCTCCACCACCTTGTCATGACCGTAACGGCAGGCCATGTGCAGTGGTGTATTGCCACCCTGTGGGATGATGCATCAGCATGACGTACAGGTACAGCATCATCATCATCATGGGGTACAGGTGCACCATCATAGGGGGGTAAAGGGGGGGAAGAGGGAGGTACTGGACTGACGTTGTTCTTGGCTTTAGCATCAGCACCGTGCTTCAACAGCATCTCCACCACCTTGTCATGACCATGACCGTAATGGCAGGCCCAGTGCAGTGGTGTATGGCCAGCCTGTGGGATGATGCAAACATGCAGTATATGTCCCATGTTACACCATAACGTCACCCCATCCAGTGACATATTCAAAGTGTAACCAATATCACACAACATCATACCAAACAGCATACGTACCTTATCTTTGTATTGGGCAGCATCTCGTATACGTTGTTGGTCCCAACTGCTCAGCAGCTGCAGCGCCTTTTGTGGATCTGATGAATAACACCTGTACAGCTGCTCTCCATCATCACTCATGGTAACGGTATCTCTCTCCGCTTCTTGCTTCTCTATCCACCACCAATCTCATGAGCCCCCTCCAAGTACAACTCGTCTGACAACCCAATGTCGGACTCAGGTTCAATCAAAACGGCAGCCCCGGCCAGCAGGCCTTGCTCTTCCCCTCCCGGATGCGCCAAACGGCTCACCTCTGGTCAACAGCTCTGTAACGAGTTGCAAGTTGGGGTGTAATTGTTTGCCTAGCGCACGATGTCGACCGTGAGGTGGGGTCAGTGGCTCAAAAAAAAAAAAAGTGGCAGCGATGATGCTTTCAACCAGACGTTCTGGCGTCGCCACACGGCCTCGGCCAGGAGAGAGTCCCGGAGCAAGCGCAAAAGCGATCAAGCACGATCAGCCACCACACACAGAGCAAGACACGCCAAACAATCCGCCGATGCTAATGTCGAACCCGATGTCGCTCGCGAAGAAGAGACAGAAGCAGATGAAGATGAAGGAAAATGCCACGTTCAACACACACACACACACACACACACACACACACACACACACACACACACACACACACACACACACACACACACACACACACACACACAAGCGCCCGCAAAAGTCAAAGCGATCACACAAGCAGATTTTTGTGTGCTTTACATGTTAGAAGCGCCGCCAGAAGTGGGGTTTGAGCGTGTTTGTGTGATGGCCCTTCGCCAGAGATGACAGCTGTAAGCCATTCCAAGCTCGTTGGCGACCCAAGTCAACGCTGCCGGCAATACTATCAAATTTTATCATCCCACCCAGATTCGAGCGGCCATTTCTGGCGGCGAGCTAATCACCATTAATTTTTTTTTTTAACACGTCCCATGGGCTCTTCAAGTCGCTACAAATGACCGCCGCGGTTTGAAATCTTGGACCTCTTCTGTAGTGTCGGAAAGCTTGAGCAGCGAGGCCCAGATCCCAGCAGAGAGCACGAACCCATCAATGCCCCTCCCCAGCACGGATGTATCTCTCCATCAATTCGACACGGTTGATTGTGACACATGTTCCAGCCAAAGGCGTCATGCCACATCCCAAAGTCTCATGACAGGGAACCAATACAGAACAAAGTCACTTTGATCTTGGAGTCGGGGCAGCTGCGGCCTTGGCCAGCAAGGCAGCCACGCGATCTCGCTCATCACGCTCGCGGGCCAGTTGGGCATTCCAGAGAAGGTGGTCGGTCGAGTGCGAGGCGCGCTCGCGATGATGGTGCTTCTTGTGTTTCTTCTTGTCTTTTTTGTGCTCGCGCTTGCTCCGTTTCTCCTCGGGCGAGCCGGAGCGAGTTTGATGCGGCTCAACATTACCGTGGCGGTGATGATGGTGACTTTCACGATGGTGGTGGTGGTGATGATGGTGCCGGCCGTCATGGCCGCCTTGGCGTTGCCAGTCGGGTCTTGAGGACGCCTCCCATGACGAGGTTAGGCTGGTGTCAGAGCGAGCACCCGGGCCATGTGGAGAGCGAACGATGCTTGTGGGACCCCCCCGCTGCGACCAGTGTTCGGCGCGCAGAGAGTGCCGGTCGTAGCCTTGCGGCGTTTGCCTTGGGCCAACGTTGCGGGCTTCTCGGCGGCGCTCTTCAGCCTGAGCTCGCGCCTTTTGGCGGCGGTGCTGAGCCAAGTGGCCCTTTGAGGCAGACACGGCGGTGGCAGCGTTACTTGAATGCGTGGCAGGGGACGGTCCAGGCATACTCATGAGAGGCGCGAGTCAGAACACGACAGCATACCTGCATCTCGTTCAGTGGATCATGATCGGCAACGCGGGCCTCGCGCACGGCCAGTTTATGGGGCTCGCGTCGTTCGAGGCGCTCATTGTTGGCGTGGCTTCGCGTGTACCATAGCTCTGCGACATTTGTAAGCCAGTCCCGTGAAAAGCACGCACCAGGCAAAAACAAAAAAGTTTCACAGGAATCGCATCGGCAGGGCCAGACCTTTGCTGTCGACAGGAACGCTGTCTAGGGGCTTGAGGATGCCCACTTTTTTCTCCCATTCCTCTTGCTTGCGGCGCTTTTCAGCTGCATACTCGCGACTTCCGCCCTGGCAACGTATGGGATTGAGAGACGTAGGAATAGCACGCACGGAGGGATACAAAAGAGGGACACATAGAGACAGGGAATGATAGACATTCACAGACAGAGACGCATGCTGACAGCCACAGGCACACATGCACCGCTTTCATGAGCACACCTGCTTCTCTTCGAGGTCCTTGAAGAAATTAATGTGCTCCGTCGGGACCGGCGGCTCGTTGCTGGCGGCGGTGTGAGCGTGTGGATCGACGAGCGAGGACGCAGCTGTATTGCCGGATAGGAGTGCAGCGGTAGGTGCTTGCAAGGGCTTGTATTCACCTGGCAACCGCCGCACAGCATCAGGTTTGCAGCCAATGCACGCGCCCGCCTGCCCCCGAATCGCGGCTGCGCGGGCGCTCATCCATCGCACAGGCCAGCCTACCTTCAATATCATCGCAAACGTCTGCGGTCGTTGCTTCTAAAGAGGCACTCGCTGCAGCCACGCCACCTTGGCGAGCTTCCCGTGCGCGCCGACGCAACAACTCGAGCCGAGCCTCTCGCTCCTGGATAAAAGCAACGTGCCCAAGGCGCTGTGAGCGTTCAAGAGCAGCGCCCCTTGCGCCACGGGAGATCAGGGGGCACGTACGGCTTCCTCTGCGCGACGCTGCTTTTCATCGGCCTCGGCTTGAGCCTGCGCTTCATCGCGCTTGACCCGCTCGATGTTGTCCTTGTTCCACACGTTCCATTTTTTTTTGGGCAGGATGATCAGACCTCCTCCCGCCATGGCAGCGGTTCAAGAACCTTCAATTCCCGCCACCACCTCTTGCCCCGCTCACTCTATGGTCGCCGTCTTGGCTGCAGGCAAGCAACAATAACTTAAAAAAATGCAAAGATAATTCACTGAACCGGGCTTACAAGATCCACGTTAAAGTTGATTTATGCCGCAGTTATGATGTTGACGCCACAGGCACAAAATTGCCGCGCGCGCATGGGTGGTTGGTTCAAAGGGCATTAGGCGGCAAGGGGGAGGAGACGCCAGGTGGTGTGTTGACGTTTTGGACGAGCAGAAAGGCCCGGACAAGCGTTTCACAGGATGTACAATTGCTTAATACACATTTTGCAGGGCAGGGAAGAGTCACGGACGGTGAAGATCATCGGAGTCACGGACGGCAATTCAGACGGAAAGGGCAAACGCAATCTCTGCTCTCTTTCTCTGCTCCCAGGCACTCAGTTGGCGGTGGGTGGGAGACGAAACAAAGAGGCGGGCGGAGCATGGGGCTGTAGGCACACGTCATCAACAGCTTTCAACAAAACACAAAAAAACAAAAAACAAAAACTTGCGGGACAGCGCCAACAACACGGACATGTCAAACAAGACGGCTCGGGAGTGGAGGCCTTCAAGGCATAAAACGAAGAGCAAGGCTGAGCGAGATATACAGAAAGGGGAAGATCACCTAGAAACTTGCCAAAACTGAGCTTTTTACTCACTGCTTGTCAGCAGTGTCTGCCGCAGCGGCGCCGGAATCGCCATTGTCGTCAGCGCGCACAACATTGACGCCACCTTGGTTCGACATCATGCTCGACTAAGAAAGGTCAAACAATGAGGGGTCAGGGCACGGCATGTGAGGGCTTGTGAGCCAATGTGAAGCAATTGACAAACGAGAGCAAACGGGAGGAGAACATGAAGGCGCACCAAGAGCTGGAGAATGTTATCGGGAGAGGGTTGGGCGACGCCGTTGTCACCGTTGCCGGACGATGCAAACGTCTCCGCAGGGTCAGGGAATTGCTCCGGCGCAACAAAGCCCTCTTCGGGCTTGGGAGCATTTTCAAAGAGCACGAGAATGGCAGACATGTTGTCCTTGCTATCCAAATGCAGACAATAGTCCAACAGGCGCTCAACCACTTCTTCGGCCTTGTAGCCAGCCTACCATTGCAGCAACGCACGAACCATCAGGTCGGGGCACGGTACAAGGGCACCCCAAGTGTAGGGATGGAAAAGAGTGCCAGCCGATTTTGGTATGTCATGCATGATCAAACGCGGGGACAAAGACGACCAAAAGGAATTGAACACCCAAGCAAACGATCAAGCCAAAATTCATGGACGAGCGCGGCTGTGCAATGCTGAGTGAGGAGAGGATCAGATTAGCCTGGCCCCTTTGCGGCGACCGCGCCGCAAAAGTTGGTCGCAATCAGCACGGGAAAAGCGCATGATTTCAGTTCGGGCAAGTCATCACATCCAAAACCCCACCCATACACGTCGTGGTCGGCTCGGACCCGAGCACGCATGGAAATATGGCAAGGTCGCACGAAGCGCAAGAGAGGAAAGGAGAGAGGGGGAGAGGGGGAGAAAAGGAGAGGGAGAAGGGGAAGGTTTCAAAAGGCTTGGACAACCTGTTCACAATGCCAAGGGCAGACTAGCCCAGGAAGTGGTGGCAGCGCGCAGGTGGCTGCGCGTGTGTGTGTGCCCAAGGGTCAGCAAGCAAATTAGGTTCCGAACCTTGAGCTGGTTTGTGATAAAGGCTGCGGCGTTGGCATTGGTCAGAACGTCGTAAATGCCATCGCAGGCAATGAGCATAAATTGGTCTTCGGGGTTGCGTTCAATGACGGTCATGTCGGCTTCAGGTGAAATCTTTTGGGCCGTGGCGTCGAGGTCGGGCATGTCCTTGTAAAAATAGTCACCCAGGGAGCGGGAGACGGCAAGGTTGCCGCAAACGCGGCCCATGCTGACATCACCGTCGGCCGCCTTGATGCGGGCGACCTCGCCCTCGTTCGTGGGCTTGTGGTCGTCAGTGGCAAAGACGACGTTGCCATTGCGGCAAATAAAGGCACGGGAGTCACCACAGTTGCCAAAGATGACGTGGGTGGGGGTTACAATAACACCAACGGCAGTGGAACCCGAGCGATCGGCACAAGAGTCCAGATCTGAGTTGGTTGCGCGAATGCTGGCATCCAAATCAAGGAGACCCTGGCGAAAAGCATCCTTGAGCATATCCGGGTTCAGCTGCGGTGATGGGGAAAACGCGCGGATGTGATGGTGAGTTTTCGATTAACCCGAATGGTGAAGCAGGAGAACAGAGAGAATGCGGAAGAGATGGCGGACTCGGCAAGCAGAATAGAGCGAGAGACAAATGGAGAAAAAAAGAGGTTGGGGAGGGGGGGCAGGGGTGAGAGAAAAGCTCGAGGCAATGGGCGCCGACCTTGTCTTCGGCAGCCTTGAAGATATCTGTTTCCAAAATGGCCTTGAGACTGTCAGTGCCACAAATTTTGGAGACCGTGTCACCACCGTGGCCATCAAAGACTAAAGGCAGAATCAGTTTGGCCGCAGCAGGTGAGTGATTTCCAGGCGGGAAAACCCGACCAAGGTGAAACAAAGAGGGAAAAGAGCATGAGTTGCTTTGAGCATACCGGCGAAAAAGCTTCCTCCGGGGAGCTCTGGAATATCGGTGACAGCCTGATGGGCATCCTAGAAGGAAGAAAAAGAGAAGCGGGAAAAGGGGAAGGGGAGGGGAAAGAGGCGGCGATCAAATGAATCGAGGTGCAGGAGAGGGAGAGAGCGCGCGCGAGCAAAGGAGGGGAGGCAGGCCGCATTTGGGTGCAGCCGCTGCGTTGGTGATGGTGGCGGACCAACCTCCATTTCCACGCGCCAGCCTTGCATGCTGGAGAGGGCCCAGATCAGGTTGTTGCCCTGGTTATGATGTGTTTCCTTCTCATACTTTGGTTTGTCCAAAAAGCTACCCATGGTGAACGGTGCGGGTTGATCTTGATTTGACGCAGAGAGTCCCCCGCAAAAAAGGTGCCAGTCAAATGGCGATGAACGGTTCCAAGAGGAGGCAGGGCAAGAAAGAACGTGCAAAGGAGAGGGGAGACAGGTGAGGCAGTGTGGCGAGAAGCAGCGGGGAGTAGAGGGAAGCAAATCGTAGACCAGAGCCACGAATATTTGGCACAAGAGCTGTGACGTGGTCCTCGAGCTCTGTCCCTAGACACGGGATTCGAGCCTCCAGCCATCAACGGCGTCTGCACTTACAAAGCTGTGTCGCGCCGTTGAGCCGCGGACTGTACACCTAAGTGAATAAGGGCAAGCAGCAGCACGGCCAAATGGGAATGTACATGAGTGCACGGGCAGTGAAGAGCTGGGATGGATCCGGGGTCAGCAACGGGGTCGTCCGCGCTGGCTTTGCGCGCACGCGGGCGCTCTGTGTGTGTGTGTGTGTGTGTGTGTGTGTGTGCGTGGCAGCAAGGCATGGGCAAGCGGTAGCGGCGATCTCTGGCATTGGGTGATGTAGACGGGCGCGCTTGTATCGAGTGACGTTGCAGGGCAGGGAAGAGGTTGGTAGCTGATCCCGGCACAGCGGCCAGCCGATCACAGCGACCAGCTCATGTACATACCCAGCTGCCGTTTGCGGAAAAATGACCCTTGAAAACTTGAGAGAGAGTGCGCGCTGGTGCGCGTTTTTCAGAGAGTGTGTGTTGCACCAAGAGAATTTCAGAGAGCGATGACGGAATGGTTCAAGGGTGAGAGAGGTGGAGCTCGACAAAGAGAGCTTTTGGGAGATATCAAAGGCAATGAGAGAGGATTTGAGAGAGTTTTGAGAAGCTTAGAGACAGTGATGGACCAAGAGAAAGATGTAGAGAGAAGAGGTATGCAGGGACACAGATGGAGAGATATGGAAACACAGCGACACACACACGCGTGAGGAGAGAGAGAGAGAGAGAGAGAAGAGAGAGAGAAGAGAGAGAGATTTAGAGAGAGAGAGAGAGGGAGAGAGAGAGAGAGAGAGAGAGATTTAGAGAGAGAGTGTGTTTCGTCTTTTTTTTGAATTCTTACACACAGACGGCATTGGATTTCAATCTCTAACAAACACACACACACACACACACACATAAAAGAGGTTTGAGCTATGGGGCGGTGTGTGCTGGTCTAATTGGGCAGAGCTGGTGATGAGGGGGAGCTGGGGCGTTTGAGCTCGTGGACAAGCAGATGCCATCAGCCATCAGCCATCAGCCATCAGCCATCAGCCATCAGCCATCAGCCATCAGCCATCAATCACCAGCCAGCCAGCAACAGTCGCGGGCTGACATTGCGCTTTCCTATCAAATTTCCAAGCGCATGAGTTTTACTGGGCGCGCACAACAGCACCTACAACCGGGAGTCAAGGCTGCTTATGGACCGTCTGTCCCTGGCTCCGTCCCTCGCCTTCTCAGCCGCCTTGAGGGTGCTCTCTGCCAGCCGCGCCAGGGGTCGCCGCTGCCATTTCACGCCCGTCGATGCGCGCGCGAATTCGGCCAGCATGCCATATATCCAAATTTCTGTATACGCCATTCACCAAAATTACCCCCTCAAATGATTCAAATTTATTCACACAACCTTCCGTCGCAAACGGAATTCATCCCAAACACAAAGTGTAACACAAGTGCGGCTTTGCGGTATTTTATCTGACAATCCGAGCAAGCCGCAAAACGGCAGCGACAAACGGATGCGGTTGATGATCCACTGACCTGCTCTGCACCGGCTTGAACGACACGGCGACGGCGACGGCGACGATACGGCGACGGCGCGGCGAATGCATTTGCTGCATTTGTTGCCTGGTTTAGGTTTCGCGAGCGACGAGAGCTGCGTTTCGAATCGGAGCTGGTGGGTTATTCAAGGTCGGCCTGCCCCTGCGTCAAGAGCAGCAGAGGGGAGGGGGAGGAGGCGTGACGGATTGCGGCGTTGGACGCAGTCATGACTGCTCCAGAGAACGGCGCGTCCCCGACGCCTGCTGCCGATGAGGATGCCGGGACCTCGGGATCAGATCCTACATCCCCGTCGGCGTCACCTGGATCGGCACGCAGCCCAGCGGCTCAGCGCGACTTGGTGGGCGAAGAGGAAGAAATGAACCTGCTCTTCGAAGAAGACGTCACCCTTGATCAAGTCTTGGACGAGGCCGAAGATGACACCCCAGCCGAGGCAACCCACACGCCGCAGAAATCTGGTGGATCGCGCCCCGATCAAGCGCAGCAATCCCATCGGGCTGCCCAGCTCGACGACGAGGCCGACGAAATCAGCAGTGACTCTGACACACCGGATTCAGACACCCGCCGCAGCCGCGAACACCCAGACCCTGCCAGTCCTGCCGACGCTGCACCTTCCAAAAAGGAGCCGGGCGCTGCTGCGCAGTCTTCAAAGTGTGCGTTGCGTTGGGCTTATAGCTATCGAAAATTGGCCGCCTTGATTGCCTTTTGGACCTGACACCACCCCTCACCAAATTTGCCTGCCCCGCTACCAATACCATGCAGCCAAAAAAGTCCCTATGGCTGCTCTCTCCTTGGTGCGATCGTGCCTTGCGCTTCTGTGGCTTTGCAATCACAATCGCTGGCTTCCACCCGCTCCCTTCCGCTCGGGCCGCGACCGACATCCACACTACTCACACATTCCTCACCTCACTTGGTCGCGCGTCTGTCTTCCAGGAGGAACTGAGCGCTCGCTTTGCGAGTTCGGCCAGGGCCAAAAATGCTGCCGTCCGGGACCTCCTGCTCCGCCTCAAGGCCGACGGCGACGCAACCACGGGCCCATCTCCCGCCATGGCTCAATGCCTCCTGACCCTCATTCGCACAGAGCGGGCCGGCCACCACTTGCTCAATACTCACATGCATCGTGACCTGTGGGAAGCCGTGGCACGTTGGTCCGAACATGGCCCACCGCAAGCTCCCAGTGGCGAGACCATGTCTGCAGACAAGGCCGCCACGCCTGTGCCCGAGGAGGCATCGGCCACCGCCACGGAAATTGCCGATGCTGCTGAAGCGCCTCCTTCGGATGAGAAGGCCGATGATGCCCAACAGAAGGTCGAAGGGACGTTGACGACTGCCGAGACAGTCTCGCCCGAAGCGGGTAACGATGCAGCCATCAAGGGCAACGAGGCCGACCCTTCCCTCATCTGGCTGCAGGCCATCTGGGAAACCTTTGATCTCGTCGCCTCGGCCTCGCATGCTCAGCTCTTCCACAAGCCCTTGGTCGATGCTGCGTTGGCCGCCCACCAGCTTCATGGGCCCATTGCCATGTACCTCTTTAATCGTAGCCGAGATTATCGTTCGTTGCATCATCCCGTGCCCTAATCTGTGGCTCGCTGCTGGCTTTGAGCATGGTCGCTGCCTCTTTCGCTCACTTGTCGGCTCGCACGGTTGCACTATCCACGCGTTTGTTGTGTAGCATTGGAACTATTGCACGCATGGAGCACGAACGACATCTCCCAACAGGATTGGTCGGGCCTGGCACGGGTACGTGCCCAAGCTTGGCTCATATTCGGAGGTCTTAGCCAGACTTTCACATGTTACAGCTTGCACCCCTCACTCATCCATCTTGCCCTCTTGTACCCGGACCATGCTTCTCTGAACTTCTCGCTCAGCTTTGGGCACAGCACCACCGAGTTCGAGACGCCAAGCCTGACACTACAGAGGTGGAAGATCTGCTTCCCATGGCCAAGCGCTTGCTTACTGCTGAGACCGATGCCAAGACACACCGCGAGGTCAGTGGCCTCGGTCATGGACATTTGCTGATGCATTTCATCTGTTCTCAACACCCAGGCCTTTGCTCGTGTCTCACACATGATCTTTTGTTGTCACTGCCATCATTCACGTTCTGGGATCTAGCTCCTGACACAGCTTTCGTCAGGGTGGGGCTCTGGGGTTGTGCTGGACCTGGCGCTTCCGATCGCATTAGGTTGGCTTTTGCGCGCACTAGCGCGTGTGAGTTTAAGCTGCAATGCTCATGCGCTCGTGATCTCTGCGCTCCCTCAGATGCTTTGAATGATGGGCGCCCACAAGATGCGGCAGCTTCATTGTATCCTCTGGCATCACCAGAGCTGTTTGCTCGATTGACCTTGGACCAAACGGCACAGCTTCTCCAAGTCTGGCAAAGTGTAAGTATTCAACCCCCATTAAACCGTTTTGTTGCCTGGCCTGTTTACAAGATGGTCATCGCCATGCTCCGATCGTCTCATCGCTGCTGCCATTGCCATGCAGCAATCGAAAACAACCAAGACCTTTGCGTTGGGGCTTGAACATTACGTGACGCACGTGCCTGCGCCACACACCGATCCGCACGTTGCCAGCTTTTTGCCGCATCTGCTCTCTTCATGCAAGTCCAACCCAAAGAACAAGTCTCAGATCAACACGATCATCCGTCAGGTTTGTCTGGGTCTTGGCCGTTCTCTCTGCTGCCATCGGGAAAATCTACTTCACTCACACATTGCCCTCTCTTGCTTCTTCCAGCTATTGGACCATGTCGATGAGCTATCTTTGGACATGGTGCGGGAAATGTTTGACCATATTTCTGATAGCAAAGACCAGGCTTCCCTGGCCGAGCGGCTGGCCCGGGCCCTTGAGCCTTTGGATGTTTTTAGTTCCGAAGAGGAGCGTGCGGACGCAGAGCGCTTGATCAGCCTACTCAAACACCCCTTGCCAGACGCCACGACAGGCCATATTGCCTCGGCCTTGTTGAGCAATTTGCGACCCAAATGTGATCTGAGTGATTTGAACCACCGGTACGCATGCTTATGTGTGGACCGACAGACGTAACAAAAGCGAATGAAAGTGTCTGCTGCCACCATGGGGATGAATGTTTGTTTTGTCTGTACGATCGACATGTCATGGCCCCCTCACGTTGTGGGCACCTGCCACGCACAGCCGGTTGCTAGCACACCAGCTCAAGGGGTTGGATGCACCAGCCGTTGAAGCTGCTTTGGCTTCTGCCGACTCGGCATCATCGCGCATGGTTTGTGCACCCGATTGATGCTCTCTAGCCGCGATGCGTGCCACGGCTGCTTCAAGTAGCGTGCTGACTTTTCCATTTTTTTTTCTGTGCCACATGGGATAGATGCTCATCGAACAGTTGGCCCACAGTCAGCCTGAGCTTGCACTTGATCTTCTACGCTCTGGTGATTGGACTGCCCAACAGCTCTTTGACGTTCTTCGCAATCGTGCCTTTGAGTACCAACATCGACTTCGGGTGCTTGAGATTCTTTGGGTTTGTTGCAAATGCACGCTGCAAAACGCTCTTTTCTCGCTTGCCCTCCTAGCGTCAAGCCTGCTTTTGCCAAAGTGGAATACATGTCACCTTTCACAGTGTCAGGAATGTCTTTGTTGCTACCTCACTTGTTGTTCTGCCCATCCCCTTTTCAGGACAAGTTCCCAGAGGCCCTGCGTGAAGATGCCAACAAGGTCCAAGCCGAACTACGTGGAATTCGGCGCCGGTATGTTAGACTCTGCTCGGTCTGCCTCCAAGGCAGGGGCGAGGCATCCGTCGACTCGATGCGTCCGCCCCTCGCTGGTCAGCACTGCGCTCTTCACTGCCTGCTCACCCGTGTTTTGCTGGGCGTTTGTCCATCTGGCCAGCACTGCGTTGTGTCACCGACAACCTCTTTGCAGCAGCTTTGCCAGCTGCAAGTTTGTCCACTTGAAGTGTTTTGAAAATTTGGAGCGACTCGGCATTGTGCGTTGGTCAATGTATATCGCTGAAGATATGCTTTCGCAGCCGTCTATCCATTTGCGCGTGCGTTCACCGCCCCCAACTTGGATTGCTTTTTATTTATTTTCTTAGCCGGCCGAGAAGTGGCCCGAGGTGGCCGAACTGGTGAAGATCATGGGTCCTGCGGGCTATCCCATTAGCCAAGGGTAAGACGGTCGGGCGTTTGTTTGATACTATGGCCCATCCACTAATTTTGTCCCCAACGCGATGGTGTTTAGCTTTTTGCATCGTATGGTGCTGAATCAATTGCCAGCCACGGCCGACACAACACGTTTTGAGGTCATCTGCGCGCTCCTGACACCAGACTGCAAAATCGACAACGTGGGGAGCATGGTATGTGGCTTGTCATGCTTCTTTTAGTCGGGGGGTGCCCGTGTCCTCTCACATCCTTTTAATGGTGGTCTCACAACTCGCTGCATCTATGAATCAGCTCAACGAGCACGATGTCGAGGTCTACCTACAACACATGGACCCCCAAGCCGCCCTGACGGAGAAGCAGTTGCTGAAGTTGTGTGCCACTCCCGCGTCGCGCAAGGTGTGCGATTGAGGCGCTCACTCTCTTGTCAGCTGGCTGCTTTGGCGTGACGTTGAGCTTGTCTCAATACACTGAACACTCATCACGTACCCCTTTTGCACACAACCGGGGCTGTTCCGTTTGCGCAGGGGTTGACAGCAACGCTGCGTGTCTGCCAGGCCACGCTGGCACAAAAGTTGGCCCAAGCAGTCTTGCACTTTGACTTGCACGCAGCTGCACGGGTATTATTGGATCTGGCAGACACGGATCTGTTGACCACCGACCAGCTCGTGCAGTGCTTTCGGGTATGCGGCTTGCTAGGGCGTGCGTGCAGCTGCACGTGCCAACTTTCTGATGTCGAACTCCAATCTGCTCGCGGGCCTATTTCGTTCCACTCGCAGCTTGCTGTGCCCCACGAACCAGCCAAAGTGGCTTGGGTGCACCTGAACGCGCTGAGCAAGGCCAAGGTCTCGCTGGAGGACAAGGACTACGAGCAGACGCTTCTGCTGGCTGTCCAGCAGCAGGCCTGGGGCACTGCTCGTCTCGTGTACATGGCCATGTGTGATCAAGGTAGGCGACGTGCTTGAAAGGCTATCGTGAATAGGGGCTCTGATTGAGGGTTTGCTCCATAGAACGTTCTCTTGCAGCACAAACTGTGCGTCTCCTCATCGATGGCTTGCGTGGAGCACCTCCCGACTACCACCGCATTGCTTCCACGTACGTCCATCTTCTGCCATTACCGCCTGTTTGATTTTGTTACAAATTGCCACCTTGCTCGTCAGTTTTGAGCCCGGTCTTCTTCTTTCTTCTTGCTCATATGCTCCCGATGGGCTTGCACACGCACTGACGCAGCATTTTTGAGAAGGCGCGAGGGGCCAATCAAATTCCTGGCACCGGCGCGGATCAGACCCCGTTCGCCCTCAATCTCTCGCCTTTTTTGGTGCACGAGGTCATGCTTGTACTCGATCACTACCGAAACACCGTGTTGAACAACACACCTGCTGATGGACTGCAGCCGCTCCATCTCACCTGGGAGGGCGCTGATGTCTCTCTGGCGCCGAGCGTCGAGTCGTGGATCACCGCACACGCCCCGGCGTCCGTCTTGAGAGAGCTGAACTGGTCTTCGATTGCTCCAGAGGCTACAGAAGTCACCCTCCCGCTCGACCTTGTGCGTCGTCTCGTGCACGAGGCTGTGGACACACGCGAGCAGCAGGTCGTCTCACCGTCTTCCAACAAAGTAACCGCCCCTCGAGAGGGGGTTGATCTGATGCGGGAAGCCAAGCGCGCTCGAACCACGCTCCCAGCACCCCCCGCTCCCCCGACAACGACATCACTTCCGACACCACCGGCGCGGCCAACTCCGCCCGGGCCACCACCGGCGCCAGCCATGGGCATGACTTCGATGGGATCCAGCCAGCCTGAACCCAAACGGGCCAAGGCAGATAGCGATCCTGTTGTGACACGGGGGCCACCCGGCTTTCGCCTCGACCGCCGGGAAGTGTCGACAGTGTCGAGCCACAACTCGGGTACCAACGAGTGGGACTCCAACTCACGATCTGCTGCTGGGCCCGATGTCGGTCGCAAGGCCAGCGTCTTGCCCGGATTTCGGCCCGGTCATCGCGAGGAACAACGCGCGAGCCCCAGCACGAGTGCACCGGCCCGGGCCGTGGAAGCGTCAGGCTCGGGTCGCTCCGGTCCACCTGGGTACCGTCCCAGCAGTGCCGGAGCTCGGGCGGTTGATTCCCAGGGTACCTCGCCAGTGACGCCGGACGGACCCCCGAGCATGGTCACGCCTGGCTCGATCCCTTCGGTTTCTTCCCCTCCAGCCGGCTTGCCGAGTAAGGTGCCTCCGCCGCCTCCCACGCCGCCGCCACCGATGGCCGATACGCAGAGCGTGTTGGCACAGGTGATGGAGCGCAAGAAGCGGCGTCATGGGGAGGAACATGAAGCCACGACACAGCTTGCCTCCCGAGTGGTGGACGACACCATTAAGGGGGCCTTGAAGCCCGCCTTGACGCATATGCTACGACGAGGCAAAATCCGCAGCAAGGCGGATTACAAGACCTGCTACAAGCGTATTCGATCGCACTGCTTGAAGCTCCAAAACATGAGCAGCGGTGAGTTGCGGGCGCGGATCGAAGAGATTGTAACCAACTTTTTTGCCCAGCAGGAGTTTTATGACCCTGATGGTCCTCAACCATGCTAAGACCCAAGCCCATCACGTCTTGCATGGCATAACAGAGTTCATGTTTTAAGGATTGCCAGAATCTATCAGGAGAAAAGACAAAACTTGTCATCAACTTAAATTTTTTTAAACATTCTGTCCCAAAGCTTTTGCCTTTGTTGGAAGCAAGCGGCACAGCTGCTTTGCGTCAAGATGCGGGATCCACATTCAGAAAAAAAAAAAAGGCAGAAAGCCAACGGTGGGGAGAGAAAAGAAATGGAATATGGGTGGGTCGATAAGACAAAGACCCGGGATGGTCGCTCGCGACTCAAAAACAGTTGAGCATCCACGTCGCCTGCCCAGTCAGGGTTGACATGATGGAATGCTGGAAAAGTTTTTCGGTGGTTTGGTGGATGGGCTTTACATCATGCCCATGCCGCCCATACCGCCCATACCACCCATGCCGCCCATAGGAGGTGCGGGGGTCTCCGAGGGGATCTCGGTGATGACGCACTCGAGGGTGGTCAGGAGCGATGCAACGCCGCTGGCATCAATGAGGGCGGTACGAATGACCTTGGTGGGGTCAACAATACCACGCTGGAACATGTTGCACATCTCGCCCTACAAAATAGCAAGCATGGTGAATTAGCACAGCCATGATGCAAAGATCAAGAGGAAGAGGAAAAGTGATTGGGTGATGTGTGTTTAACCTGGCGAAGGTGATCATGGCCACGCGGATGCGGGCTGGTCAACTCCGTGGCAAAGGCAACAGACTTTGTCTAGGCATGGCTTTGAATGCAGTAGACCCATTGTATATGGAGGTCGTGCACTTCAGTGGAGCCATGCCATACCATGGCCTTTCGGATCATGGTGGAAGTGTGTTTGAAATGGGAGAGGGAGATGTGTCAGAACATGAATAAAGGGTGGGAACGTACAGTGTAGCCATCCCAGCCGTACTCGGGGTCCTGCTCTGAGGTGGTGAGAATGTCGTTAATGATGACAGAGGAGTCGGTGCCAGCGTTCTTGAAGATCTGGGTAGCCGGGGCGCGGAGAGCCTTGCGAACAATGTCAATGCCCATCTTCTCATCAAAGTTGGCAGCCTCCAGAGACTCAAGGGCCTTGATGGACTTGAGAAGGGCGGTGCCACCACCAGTAACAATGCCTTCCTCAATGGCAGCGCGAGTGGCGTTGAGGGCATCAGTGACACGGTCCTTCTTCTCGCCAACCTCGACCTCGCTGCTGCCACCAATCTTGAGGACGGCAACACCACCGCGCATGCGCGCGAGGCGCTCCTGCAGCTTTTCCTTCTCGTAGTCGGAGCTAGTCTCCTCAATCTGAGCGCGAATGGCCTCGGCGCGCTCCTCAACCACACTGGCGTCGCCACCGCCGTTCAGGAACAGGGTGTCATCCTTGGACACAACGAGCTCACCAACGCGGCCAAAGTGCTCGGGAGTGACTACGGAACAAATGTGACAGCACGGCACACCCAACGTGAGCCAACAATAAAAACCCACACGCATCTGCTTTCAAGTCATCGCCATGCAACACCGTCATCAAGCTCGCAATAACTGGGGCGAGGTCAAAACTTACTCTCCTCGAGCTTGGCATCGGCGGCCTCCGAGTTGAAGACGTAGCCACCGGTCAGAACGGCCATGTCCTGGAGGGTGTTCTTGCGGTTGTCGCCAAAGCCGGGAGCCTTGACCGCCACAACTTGCAGGTTGCTGCGGATGCGGTTGACCACAAGGGTGCTGAGGGCCTCGGTGTCGACGTCCTCGGCAACAATCATCAAAGGCCTACACATCACGATCAAGTGAGCTGAGGCAGATGCTTAAGGCACTTGTAGGCCGCACCAATGTGCACAATAATGTGAGGTACCCAAAAAATGAGCCAACGCACTTTTGCATCTTAACGGCGAGCTCAAGGGCCGGCACAATGGACTGGATGGAGGAGATCTTCTTCTCGCTGAAGAGCACAAGTGAGTCACCGTACTCGACACGGCGAGCTAGCGAGCAGAGAGAAAACACAAAAACAGGTCAGGCAAAACGTTGCCTGCATATGTACGTGGTTGCGATACAACAGTCTACAATGACGTACTCTTGTTGTTGTTGACGAAAAAGGGGGAAATGTAGCCGCGATCAAACTTGAGGCCCTCGGTGTGCTAAGTGAGCGCGGCAAAAAAAAAAAGGGACAAAGCGTGAGCGCAGAAGGGTTGGACGGACGTCAAGCTGATGTCAGAGCAAGTTGCTTACCTCAAGGACGTCATCCATGGTCTGGCCGTCCTTGACGGTGATGACACCATCCTTGCCGACCTTCTCAAAAGCCTGGGCAATGAGGGCACCAATCTTCTTGTCGCCGTTGGCGGAGATGGTGGCGACCTGCTCAATCTCTTCCGAGGTGGTCACGGCCTTGGAGATGGCCTTGAGGTTGGCGATCACGGCATCAACACCACGCTGGATGCCCGAGCGGAGGTCACGGGGGTTGAGGCCAGCCGCGACGGCACGGAAGCCCTCAACGGTAAAGGAGCGGGCGAGGACGGTGGCGCAGGTGGTGCCATCACCGGCAATGTCGTTGGTCTTGTTAGCGACGTCCTGGACGAGACGAGCACCGAGGTTCTCGTACTTGTCCTCGAGCTCGACGGCCTTGGCCACGGACACGCCATCCTTGGTGATCTTGGGGCCACCAAAGCTCTGCTCCAGCAGCACGTTGCGGCCCTGTTATTATCAAAAGGAGAATTAACAGGGATAGTGGGGTGAGATGAGGCAGAAACAATGCCGAGCTGACGGAAAGAGTGCTTGGGATGGGCAAAAAGCCAAAGAAAGAAAGCTAGGGACAGGCCGCCGACGCACCTTGGGGCCCATGGTGACGGCAACGGCATCGGCCAGCTTGTTCACACCAGCCAGCATGCGGGTGCGGGCATCATCGGCGAAGCGGATGTCCTTGGCATAGCCGCGGACAAAGCGACCCGTCACGGGCGCAGCCTGGCGCAGAGCACGAAACATGGCTGCATGCGGGGGACAGAGCAGTTCAGGCAGGTGTAAGAAGACGAAGAAGGTGGAGGTGCGACGTGCAGGCAGCAGCAGCTGTTCGGCTTGAGCTCCTCAGTGTGCACACATTCCCGAGCGGGCTGGCCGCTCGGGAAAACGAGATGGCGGCGCATCTGGCTCGAAAATGCAGTCTTGTTTTCTTTCCCCTTCCCATGATGACTGACTGCCATGCGCGCCCAACCAGGCACCAGGCACGAGCAGGTCCCGACGGCCATATCCATTCCCATCCAAGTCACTGCGCACACACCTGAACGTTTCACTGAACCCAAAGAAGCGAAAAATGAGAGAGAGAGAGAGAGAGAGAGAGAGAGAGAGAGAGAGAGAGAGAGAGAGAGAGAGAGAGAGAGAGAGAGAGACCGCGTGCACACATGTGAAGTAACAATGACGAGAGAGGTGTTTGTGGGAGGATGGCGGTTTAGTGGCTCGAATGCATTTGCGCGATAGCCTGCAGGAAGAGTGTTTGTTCAACAAACCGCCACTGCCGTCTTTCCCAACCTGGCTAGTTCAAGCACTCTGCCCTTTGATGCCCGGCCCGGCTGCCCTTTTACCCACTGAACAAGCCCACACACACACACCATTGCAGCTTACCGCTTACAGAAACGCAAAGAAGTCGAAGAAGACGAAGAAGAAGGTGGTGCCACGTGTCTGCTGTTGTGTGTGTGTGTGCGTGTTTTGCTTACAAACTCTCAGTCACATCCACACACACCTTATGGTCATGAAATTGAAAGAACGTTGCAATGTGGTTCTCGGAAGACGGTGGAAGGTTACAGTTGGTAGCGGGCTCGTCAGTTGGTAGCATCAGACAAGATCTTGTTTTGTATGACATGCTGATATTTGAGGGGAGGTTGACAGTTGGTAGCGGCTGCCACTTGGTGATCAGACCGGGGGTCAAAACACTTAGCAACACCTACAAACAGGGCCCTTCACAACAAGCCAACCGAGGCGACACTTGGTTACCACATGTGTGTGTGTGTGTACGTTGTACGTTGTGCAGTAAAGTGAAAGCGTGTGTCAAGCGGTTATAAGCGTGAACATGCGAGAGAACAAAAGAACCAATTTTGTCGTTCAAAATCCTTTGTTCTTTTGTTCTTTTGTTCTTTTGTCGACAAATCCATGAGCGCGAACACAGAGAGAGAGAGAGAGAGAAAGAGAGCGAGAGAGAGGGAGAGGGAGAGAGAGAGAGAGAGAGAGAGAGGGAGAGGGAGAGAGAGAGAGAGAGAGAGAGAGAGAGAGAGAGAGAGAGAGAGCGAATTTTTATTTTATTTTTTTTTTTGGTTGGAAACGGCAGTGGGTCGCCGCCGAGTTGATTGGACTGCTGGACCGCGCGACGTTCCGAACGACGACTTGTTGAAAGCTCCTTGCCGCCTGTTTGTGTCTTGGTTTGGCCGAGACGTGCCCGTCTTTGTTTCGGGTCTTTCTGGGCTTTGAGGCATACAGAGACTCGATCCGTAGCAGCAGCAGCAGAAGAAGAAACAACTGGCCATCATGGTACGTCCGTTGAAACGCTCGTCGCCGTCGCCGTCGCCGTTGTCGTTGTCGTTTCGGCGTTGCCGTTCTCTTGCTCGTTGTCGTGTGGTTGTTGCTGGTGCCGGGTGGAGCAACGCATCAATTGTACACATGTGTGCAGTGGGCATCGTTGAGGCACTCTTGTATGCGGCCACCGGCGTGGTGTCACATGTCTGCCAAATCATCATGTCTCTCAACTTTGACTTGGGGCTCATCATCATTGTTCGGCTGCTGGCACCTCGCTCGTACAGTCGCTCGCTCCCGTTCAGGTTATGACGGCTGGTGCCGAGGAAGAACGCGCCGAGACCGCTCGCCTGGTAGGTGACTGGCCCTCTTGCCTCGCCAGCTATGACTTGATGTGCTTTTGCGCTTTTCCAACATTGATGGGTTCTTTTTTTTTTTTTCATGTTTCTTATTCTTCTTTGGCTTTGCGCCAATCCCGGCTCATGCTCTTGCTCACAACCATCCATGCTTGAAATATTCAGTCTTCCTTCGTGGGTGCCATTGCCATTGGTGATCTCGTCAAGTCTACTCTCGGCCCCAAGGGCATGGTAGGTAGTTACTCTGTTCCCAATTTTTTTTTTTTTTTTTGGTCCAGCCAATGCCAGGCGTGGGTCTTTTTGGCATCAAACAGAGCAAGCAAGGTTTCGGGCAGAGGGATGACCCTCCATGGAAAACGATCTGCCCCCTGCTATGAAGACCGTGTGGGGAGTCGACTCCACCATCGAGGATCATTCATCAGCACATTGTGCTCTTGCCACCCTGCACTTTCCACAGGACAAGATTCTTGTTTCGTATTCACAGTCAAACGAGGTGCACGTCACCAACGATGGTGCTACCATCCTCAAGAGCATTGGCATTGACAACCCAGCTGCCAAGGTCCTGGTTGAGATTTCAAAGGTTCAGGATGCCGAGGTCGGCGATGGCACCACCAGCGTCACCGGTATGCTTGCCCCGATCTTGCTCGTGCCAACCCTTGGCACATTGTGCCTGCTCTCTTTTTCTTTTGCCCTCGTGTTCAAGTTTCTTCGATGCTCGACCCTCGAGCTTTTTTTGGTTCATCTTATATCTGCATTTTCCCCCCTTTTTCGCCAATGCACGCAGTGTTGGCGGCCGAGCTGCTCAAGGAGGCGGAAAAGCTGATTGCAGCCAAGATGCACCCGCAGACCATCATCTCCGGCTGGCGCAAAGCCGTGGCCATTGCCCGCCAGGCCCTCGAGGGCGCGGCACTGAACAATGGTGCCGACCCGGAAAAGTTCCGTACCGACCTCATCAACATTGCCCGCACCACCCTCAGCAGCAAGATTCTGACCAACGCCAAACAGTACTTTAGCGAGATGGCCGTCGATGCCGTTCTTCGTCTCAACAAGTCGGGCAATCTTGAGGCCATTCAGATTATCAAGAAGCTCGGTGGTCAGCTGTCCGACTCGTACCTTGATGAAGGCTTCATTCTCGATCGCACCTTTGGTGTGAACCAGCCCAAGCGCATCGAGAATGCCAAGATCCTCATTGCCAACACCTCGCTTGACACGGACAAGATCAAGATCTACGGTGCCCGCGTGCGCGTCGACTCAACTGCTAAGGTTGCCGAGATTGAAGCTGCTGAGCAGAAGAAGATGAAGGACAAGGTTGACCGCATCCTCGCTCACGACATGAACGTTTTCATCAACCGTCAGCTCATCTACAACTACCCCGAGCAGGTATGATTGGGCCAACCGATTTTACATGACCCCGTTTGTTTGTTTTTTGTCGCATCTGCAAACACAATCGTGCACTACTGGCAATGGTTCTTCTCACGTGCGACGTCGCTAAATCATTGATAGTTGTTTGCCAAGGCTGGCATCTCCTCGATCGAGCGGGCCGACTTTGAGGGCGTTGAGCGTCTGGCGCTCGTGCTTGGCGGTGAGATTGTGTCTACCTTTGACACTCCGGACAAGGTCAAGATTGGTCACTGCGATCTCGTCGAGGAGGTTATGATTGGCGAGGACAAGGTACGACAAGCCGTTGCCTACTCTGCCGCACCTGTCTCCATCTTCCGTCAACCCTGCTGTTGTTGCCTACTCTGCCACTCTTGGTTTCTCACTCATCTCCTCATGGTTGTTTGTTGACGACGCATATAGCTCCTGCGCTTCAGCGGCGTGGCTTTGGGTGAGGCCTGCACCGTCGTCCTGCGCGGTGCGACCCAACAGATCCTGGATGAGGCTGAGCGCTCGCTGCACGATGCGCTCTGCGTGCTTACTTCCACCGTGCGCGAGACGCGCGTGGTCTTTGGCGGCGGCTGCTCGGAAATGCTGATGGCGGCTGCCATTCAGAAGGAGGCCATCAAGACTCCCGGCAAGGAGGCCATTGCCATGGAGGCGTTTGCCTCGGCCCTGCGCCAGCTGCCCACCATTATTGCCGACAATGCCGGTTTCGATTCGTCAGCTCTTGTGGCTGAGCTTCGCGCCCAGCACATGGAGGGCCACACAACCATGGGTCTGGACATGGAGAACGCCGTTGTTGCCGATGTCAAGGATATCGGCATCACGGAGAGCTTCCAGGTCAAGCAACAGGTCTTGGTCTCGGCTGCCGAGGCTGCCGAAATGATTCTGCGTGTTGACGACATTCTAAAATCAGCACCCCGTCAACGTGCCCCTGGTCACCACTAATCGAACACTCGCTTGTCTGATCCGATCCGCCCAAGATTAATCCAACCACCACGTGCAGTTGCCACCCGCGCAAAGCTTAAAAACCGGGACGGGAACTGCATTGAATGAGCAAAAGAACCAAAGGGACAAGGCACAAGGTCCATCCAAGACCAAAAAAAGCCAAAGCAACCTCTAAAATTAACACCACCCTCTTTTCTTAAATTTGAGAACACAGCAGTTGACCGTTACAAACTGTGCAGACAGTTACGGTGCATGCTCAGCCATGGCGGCGGCTTCGGCGGCGGCGGCGGCGGCAAGGGTACCAGGAGATGATCGAGGCCATGGAGAAGCGAGTGCGGGCATGGGTGGGCCTGGGGTTATGCAGCTGGATGAGTTGAAGCAGGCTGTGCAGACGCAAGTGTCCCAGCATGAGCTGCACGATGCGATTCGAGCGTGTGTTGCGGAGATGTTGGACGCTGGGATTGATCCGCAGCGTGAGCCCGACATTCTGCGCGTTCGACTTCGTGAACGGGTATGTTCATTCCACGGTGGCAGCTGCTGCACAAGTTGGCACTGCTTGGGCATCGTGCGTCTCATGGGATCGCCTTGCTCTCGGCACAGGGCATTGTTGACAGAGTCATCAGCGGCATAGGCCTGGCCGCGCGCCCCGCGCGCCCAGAAACGCTGGTGGCCAGTCAAGCCCGTCCGTCCCGTGGCCTTGACCAGCGGGATCCGCGGCACCAATACATTCATCTGACCATCGGTGGTGGCGCGGTGAGTTTCAGAGTTGCAACAGGTCGCCGAGACCGTCCTGCAGACTCACCCTTGGTCTGCCTCATCATCACGGTCGGGTTTGCCCACGCCCGCAGGCCTTTTTGGACGCGGAAGGAAGCGTGCATAGCCACTTGCAGTTACATGCAGCCTATGGCCAAGAGGTCTGAATATCGATGGCCAACCCTTTGTCCTGACTCACAAGCATCGCCCACCCCCGGCCTAATCCAAGTGTTGTTGCCCGTCTCTGCGTAGCGCTATCGATCAGCATTGGTCCCCTTTGCAGCTGAACCGGATCTGCATGAATCTTTTCTCTTCAAACTTGAACGCAACAGTCATACGTCCGTCTTACCAACAGTGCCCAGTATACTCTTCGTCTGCATTTCATCTCATGGGTCACCGACATGGCTCGGGGCCTGCTCCGCTTGTTAAATCTGCACACCTCAGGTCTTCGCATGCCATTGTGGACGCACGCCAGGGTATCCATCTCGTACTGACCCGCGTTTCCCTGGGATCGCGAAAACACACTGAATGTCCGTATCTCGTCTGGCCTGAGGTTCCAGTTTCTTTACTTGATTGATCAGGAGATTTCGCATCATGCCTCGCCCTTACCACACACACATCACTTTGGTCTGCCTACATTCGGCAGTGCTGAGCTCTCACTTTATCGACTGGCGTCAGTATCTTCTGCGACAATCGCGCCAAGCCAGGTGGGCAGCCAACGAGATCCCCTGCTCTTAACCACCAAGCCTCAATGACGCCTGACTCGGTGCTTTGTTGGTCATGCGTACCTTGTATGTACACGCGTGCGCGCGCGCACGTGTAGCCATGGATGGCACAGCTTGGAGATGCGTGGCGTGGGAGCCACGGCTCATATCCCAGCTGGCATTTTGTATGCGCAACTTGACTTGCTTCCCGCCTTGCCCGAGCATTTGACTTCTGACGCACTTGAAGCTGAATTGGCCCATCAACGAGAGGTCTCGCTGCGTCATCAGCGGCTCTTCATCACGGCTGCCCAGCGATGGTGGGAACAGGTGCGTCCTTGCTGCTATTCACGCCATCCTGATTCTACTCAAGGCCTATCCGATGCCTTGCTCACATCTTGTTGGTCTGGAACGTCGCATGCGGTGAATACAGTTTATCGAGATACGCGCCGCCCACCTCAAGCGGCTCGTCAAGCTCTTTGCCAGCTCAGAAAACCAAGACCGCATGCCCGTGTGCTGCTTTCCCTGCGTCATCCCACCCAGTACGTTGTGCCGCAAAGCCCCTTTTTGTCACAAAACCTTTTGCTGCCAGCTTTGACGAGAATCCATGCGCGTTTGGCTGCCGCGTCCGTTCAGGTCAAGAATTGCCAACACCTCGCGCTGCTGCCCGCTTTGTCAGCCTCTTTAACGAACTCGCGCATCGCGTAAGCTCCCCCCATTGCCGTTTATCGCCCTCGCGCTGGTGATTTGTTATGCTTCTGGCCCACGGGTCTCTGCTCTTGTAGCGTGGTGCAGCCGATCCTGGCATTGGTGGTGCAATACAAACGGAGCAATGGCAATCATGTCACACAACCTTAACGACGGTGAGGCCGGCTCTGTCAACTGGAACTGGAAGGCAAGATGGTCTTTTTTTTGTGTATTATCATCTCCGGGCTCATGGGCTGCTGTTCAAACTCTCCGCAGCATCAAGGTCATATCGAAGACTTGGCAGTGCTGCTCTGTTCATTGCTGGCCGGTCACGGTTTAGAATCATACGTCTGCGTTGGCGTTCGAGGTGGGTGTGGTTCTTGGCACGGTTCAATGGGTGCAAGTCTGGGACGGTGTCAGTGTTCTCATGCCCATCATGGCCCTGCCTTGTGGCTGTGCCGTCCTTTCCTTTAGCCGCCACGGACGAGGAAGACGGTTGGGCTCTGCATTTCTGGGTCATGACCTTGGCTCCCGGTGAAGTTTGTTTCTGGGAGCCTCGCAACGGCCAGCGAATCTCACTGCGCACGGATCACGAGGCAGTTGCTCGCTACGTCAGCCTCGACACCGTCTTCAACCACGAGGTACGAGTGGCCGGGTGTAAGGACGCGGCTGCCGCGGGCGCAGCATGCAGTTTCTGGTTCCATGAGTCTGTTGAAAGCCAAACTGACCGTCGTCTAATTACGTTGCATTTGGCAGCGCTTCTATGCCAACGTGCAAGAGACAAATCGCCTGGCCAACATGACCTTTGACCTCCGCAACGAGGCCGCTTGGAAGGCTTTTGCGCCCGATGCATTGCGTGATGCGCGTGCAGCCTTTGCCGAGCGCGTTCCAACTCCTCGCCTTGCTTTGCCCTCGCTGCATCGTGAGACTATTGCGCAGCAGCTCGAACTCGATCTTCGTGAAGCCCTATTGCAGGTGTGCTCTTGGACAAAGCGTATTCCTATCTCATGCGCGGCGTCGGATCGCGAAAAGCCGGGCCGAGGCTGATCTGCGTGTGTTTCTGTCGAGTTAGGCACGGCATGGCATGGGTTTGTCAACGTCCGTGGACGCCCAGCTTGCCTGCATTCTCCCCCAAGCTTTGGCGGCCTATGAGATGGAGCGGGTTACCGGCCTGACCACGGGCAACGAGGTGCGTTTTATGAGGCCTTGATCGAGCATGTTCCAAGCCCAAACCCACAGCCAGATGCGGTTGAGATACGAGGGTCAAATGCAACATGAGCTTTTGCTGCGAGGAATTTCGCCTGTGCTGCTCGATGCACTCATGCTGCTCCCTCGCTGTGGTTTGGGTGGACTGATGAGCTGTTCTTAGGAGTTTCAGTGGGCCGTTAAGGCACGCGTGCCGCCAGGGCATACTTTCAAGGGCTTTCCCCTGGTCGTCAATCATGCTGCAAGTCACGTTGTATTTGATCGTATCATGTCTTCAGAGGTTGGACGGGCCATCGTGGGGGCTGAAGGTAAGCGACACGGACGTGGCTTCTAGCTTGGAAATCAGGCATGTCGATTCAAGACTGACAGTTGCCCATCGTGGCGCATCGGCTTTGGCATTAGGCGATCATGTGCATCATGCCATCAAAGTGGCCGTCTATATTTATCCCGAGGATGTCATGGCTGTGTGGGTTATGCTGGCCGTGAGGGCGTTGCACGTCCTGTGAGTCATTTGTTGCTCGGCTCGTCATGTGCTTTGTTGTCACACGAATCTACAATTTTATCCAGCCTTACTCCAACCAAGTTGTGAGAAGCAGACGAGGCAGCATGCGTCGTTCAATTGCGATCGATTAGTTATGGGCTTACAAACGGGAAGGGTACGGTTAAGCAGGGTTTATTATGATGAATGGGGACCGCGGCCACTTTGGGTTGTGCTTAGTGCCAAAAGAGCTGCACGGAAAGGGTCGCCGTGCTAGTGGGGGCAGTAGTGCGATACGCGAGCATTCGCGCAACATGTCAAATGACGGCTCGCGCATCATCATCGCACATTCCCGGCACCCAGTCAATGCAGTTGAATGCGTAGCAGGCTTCGCAGTCAGGTGCCTCGCCCGTGAACAGCATGGTGGCTGATGTTATAAACTGGAAAGTGAGCGCAGAAAAAGTAAAGGGCATGAGATGCGTGGGAGAGGCGTTCAAGATGGCAAGGTACTTCAGAGGAAGCTTGCAGTGTTTACGCGTACCATGAGCGCCAGGACTCCCGCAGCCACAATGGCAATGAGTCTCTTGCGAACCTTGTCCCAGTTGCTGAAGGTTTCCCAAGGCAACACGATCAAAGCTAGTGGAATAGGGTCAGAGGGAGGGACGACATTGGCGTTGGTCTGCTCAACACGGTCACGCTTCGGGGATGACGGGCTCAGAGAAGAGTGGAAGCCCACGGGGACTTACCCGTGACGACACCAAAAACAAAGCCACCCACGTGGCCAAAGTTGTCAATGTACTTGAGGGTGCCAACGGCAAAAGCCAGGGCAGTGATGAGCACCAGCCAGAGCAGATAGCGTGCTGGGCGTAGCACCCGCTGCAAGTGGCACAGCGAGCGATGGGCCATGAGGCGGCGTGTAGGCATGAGCGGGTGGAGTTGATCGAGACACGCACCTTCCAAGACTGGAAAAGCTCAATGTAGAGAGCGCCAAGGCAACCATAGAGGACTGGGCTGATGCCAGATTTGATTTCATAAGGCACAAAGATGCCGGAAATGATGTAGCCGCCAACGCCGGAAGACAAGGCTAGAACGCCGAAGCGTTTCCATCCGATCGACTATGCTCATGGTCCAGTGTACAAAGGAGATGCGGTATTGGCATGAGAGGGGGTTCAGCTACGGATGTGAGGAGAATTGTGGGAGGACGCCAGTTTGAGAAGCTGGCGTACCTGCTCGATCGGGACGGAAATGTAGAGTTGCCCCACAAGCACAGCGAGAAGGTAGATGGTGCCCGGGGGAAGGACGAGCGTTGTGATGAGGCGGTACCATTGATCAGGTATGAACGGGTTGACAAAATCAAAGAGGCCACAGACGGATTGGAGACAATCGACCTCGGCACAAGTGCGCTTATCAGCATGGTAGTAGCCGTCGCGAAAGGCACATTCATCGCGGGTCATGATGCTGCATTCCCCAAAGATGCCGGTACAGCACGGGTTGGCGACAAGGTCGACGCGGCAGGGCTCAAAGGCTGTGTCATTGGGCAAGTCGGCGGCTAGTAGCGGGACACATTCTGGCCACACGGTGGGATCAACGCAGCAGCGGCGGCCATAGCAAATGGTTTCATTGAAAAACACCGCCAAACCTGCCAGGCATCAGAAGGCAGTTCAACAGACGGGTAAAAATTGAGCACTGGTGATGTTGGAAGCGGAAAGGCTGCTCTGGTGGAGACGCAGCGGCAGCAAGCATCAGACCGGTGCATTCGTCGGCGGTGCCGGTAAAGCCTTGGCTGTCAAAGGTGTGTACGCAGCAGCCAAGGTTGTCTGATTCAAGGCGCTGAGCTTGCACGTAAGCATCGACACGCGGGTCACGGCGCATGCAGGGTGCAAAAACCGCGCCAAAGGCAATAAGGTCTTGTGCACTAGGGCCTGGAAAAGATTGGATTGGGGGTTCAAAAGGAAGTGCGATGAGAGATTCGCGCGGCCCGGGTGCATGGGCGGTAAAAACGAGGTGCACGCGTGGTTGTCAAGCAGGCGGTGGAATGAGGGCCGGAGGCTGACCAATGAGGACGTTGCCTGATTTGTTGACGTGCAAGACGTGGGAGTTGCCGGCAGGGCTGTGGTCATCGGATGACAAGGCACACCATGTGGGCGCGCAGGATGAGGGTGGGCAGGCGCGCGCATCGGCGTTGGGGGATGGGCAAGTCATGCAAGTGCATGCATGTCTGCAAATTTCTTCGCGGGATCTGCAGGGGCGGCGGGGAGGCAGGCCCACGACTTACTCATCAATGGCGGCTGTCTCCAGGACTGGCCGTGAAGCAATCGGGGCTTGCGGCACGACGATGAGGGTGATGATGTGCACGACGACCTGAACGGCCATGAGATAATAGTTGATGAAGGGTTGTCGACGGGCCAAGCGGTCGATGCGCTCGTCAATGGCAGCCTTAACACGGTTCGCGCGGTGACGGGTCCGAGGCGTGATGGGAGGAATCCGAGCACTTCCATTGCTCTCCTGCGGGGCCCCAGCCCGCCATCTGACACCAGCAGCCCCGCCGCCAGCGCCCGCAGCAGCGGCGACGGCGGCCGACCCGTCTTTGTGGTGTTGCTGAGCCTCCATCAGCAGCCTGCCTTGAGCGAGCGCGACCACTCGGGATGTTGAAGGCATCGTCACCAGGGACACAATGTCAGATGATAGATGGTGGTGGTAAAAAACGATCGAGTTTTGAGGAGGGGTGAGTTAATGACAGTTGGTAACCCGGCGTCGGCTTGTCTCGGATTTGTTGACAATTCGCAAAACATCAACAACAAAACGGCTCCTGTGAAGTACATGAAGCAAAAGATGAGGTTTGTGTAGAACCGAACCAGAAACTGATGATAGTAAATGTAAGAGAAAAGAATGTTACTGTTGTGCATTGAAGTAGGGTGGAGTGAAACTGAATCCTTTCAAAACATGGGCAAAACTAGCGAGACGCTCTCTCTGACTTTTACTCCGACTCTAACTCTGCCTCTGATTATAATAGCAATTTGCCTTGATTTTTGCTTCTTTTCAGCACCTTATACACTCGTCTCTCTGACCTCACGCGCACACGCTGGCACACTCTCTAATCTTCTTTCAACTGTTTACAACACACACACACACACACTCTCTCTCTCATTTTTCTTCGAGCGGCGAAACGGCAGCGTGCCGATTGCAACTCTTTGACACTACTGTTCTCACGCCTTGCACTGGCGCAGTGACAATCGCTCACCAGACCACGCATCTTATCTTTGTTGGAAACGCTTGATTGCATGCTCGAGCATTAACCATGGCGGGCGGTTTGAAGACGGTCACCGTGTTGGTGGCACTGGCCCTGGCCGTGGCCCGTGCGGACGAGTACACCTGGAACAAGGGCCGGGTCAACTTTCAGGACGCCATCTGGGGTGATGGACCGACGCCGACGGAGCCGTCGCGCGTCAACATTTTGGATCTTTCGTCGGACATTCCTTACACGGCGGTGGTCGATCCCATTGCCTTTTCCGCATCGCGCATCATCTTGGCTGACTCGGCACGTCTCGTATTTGCTGATGACGGACAGGGCAACTCGGCCCGCATCATCCTGGATGACGATCCACTCAACGTCAACACGACCATTGCCGTGCCCGATCCCACCGACCAAGACTACGACTTTAATTGCGCCGCCAACTGGAAGCGCGGTCAGGTGACGGCCACCTACCCTCCTTGCGTTGATGACACGGTCGCCCTCTCCTCGGACACGGGCTACTTCTTCTGGACCTCGGACGACGTCTCCAGCGTTGTGCTCTCCGGCATCACCGTGGATTCGGCCAATGTCGGCATCAACTCGCTCCCGGAGAACGTCTTCTCCACCTCGCTGGCTGACCGCCTCCATCTCGGTGGCTCGAGCGATATTGACCAGTGCCAGTTCAAGACAACCACGGGCTGCATCTGCGTCAACACCTGCCCCACCGACGAGCAGGCCCTTCAACAAAACATTGACATTGTTGAGGGCGTGCAGGCCTACGCCGAGAGCATCAAGGATGCCCTGGACACGGTGCGCAGCACCGGCGTCAACGTGGTCTACTCCATCGACAGCTCGGCCCTCGGCTTTCCCATGAGCCTGTCCAACCCCACTGGGCTCTCCGACTTTATGGAGCACCTCGGCGGTCCTGGCTTTCGCCAAACCCCCAGCGCCAGCAATCCATCTCCTTCTAGCATCAGCATCTCTGGCTCGGTCATGGCCGCCCGCCGCTGGTTTGTCAAGCCCTCGGCCAACCCCACCACCACCGTGAGCTCCTACACCACCAGCATCACGGCTGCTTCCCCCTTTGGCGTCCTGGACCAGGCCCCGATCGATCCTCTGATCACCGGTGCCCTCATCATGACCAGCGCCAACAACAAGATTGTCTCCCTGCCTGACTGCAGCGGTGCGACAACCACCTGCGAAGCTCTTGGCTTGCTCGGTATCCTGGCCCCCGATCTCAACGAAGCCCTGTCCGCGCTTTGCCCCGACAACACGTGCGTCGGTGCCGGCTACAACCCCACCACCTTCTCCAACGTTGCCATGCTTTTCCCCCACGGACGTCGTGCCCAGCTCCTCCAGCACGTCAAGAATACCCTCGAGGGCAACACCCTCCTCGGCTCCCTGCTCACCGCCGTGCGAGCTCAAAGCGACGACATTGCCATCATTACCGGCGCCCCGCCCCCCGTTCGTTCCTTCACGGCTTCCTTCAACTTTGGTTCTGAGCTGCCCTCTTTTGCCCCCTACCGCCTGGCCGACAGTCGCAACAAGGATGACCTCCTTCAGGAGATGCTCGGTCAACTCGAGGGCACTTTCCCCTTTTTGGACATTGACACCGAGGCGGCTGCCCTCACGCTCGTTCCCACCACCCAGCCTGCTCGCCGCCGCCGTGATACGTTCTCGGGTGACAACGAGCTTCAGCTCACCTTTGGCTACTCGGCACCCTGCACCACCCCTACCGCCTGCGCCGTCAACTTTAACAATCCCGGCTCCAGCGGCGCTCAAGGCTTTGCCGCCCTCCTGGCTGTGGCGTACCAAGCCCATGAGATTGCCTTTGAGCGTTGCTTCGACCGCACCACCTCCCGTTGGGCTTGGGACCAGATGTGCCTGGCCAACCTCATTGCGCAGCAGTACGCGTCCACCGACGCCACTCAGAGCCAGGTGATTGACGTGGCCAAGACCTATGTCAAGTGCGATCTCGCCGGTACTGCCAACGATGGCTCTTGCAACGAAGGCGAGGCTGCCGACTATGAATCCTTGGCCACTCTGGTGGGTGAGGCCGCCTACCTTCTCATTGAGGAGTCGCGAAGCGGCAATGACAACGACGACGCCTCGGGCGGCAGCACTGGACAAAGCTCGGGCAGCAGCTCGAACAGCAGCAACCTCGGCATCATCGTTGGGGCCGTCGTCGCCGGTGTCGTTCTCATCACCCTCTTGGCCTTTGTCATTGTCCGCCGCCGCCGCAAGCCTGCCCTCAACGTCAAGCAGGATCGCTCTGCTGTTGCCTTTGAGAATCCCATGTATGACAACCAGCAGGGCCCCACCTACGACAATCAAGAAGGCGTCGAGGGCGAGTACGGCCAGGTTCAGGACGAGGACGGTGGCATGTGTAAGTTTCGCTTCATTTCTGTGAAAACCCTTTTTTTTTTTTTTTTTTTTTTTTTTTTTTTTTTGTGTGTGTGTTTTTTGTTGGTGCCTGCATGGCGTGCTCCTCATCATTTGCGCTTGATTTCGTCTCTAATTTTTTGCAGACCACGAACCGGCTTTTGCTGCCCAGGGTGGCATCAAGAAGAACCCCATGTATGACTCATCCGAGCGTCTGGCCGACAACGACGGCTACATTACGGCAGAAGGAGCTTACATGAACCCGGATGGTTCGGTCCTGACTGGCAAGAACCATGCAGTCGATGGCTTTGACAATGACATGACTGAAGGCGGCTATCTGGACGTTGGCGGTGATGATTTTGCCGGCGATGATTTTGCCGGCGATGAGGAATTTGATGGTGGCTTTGGTGATGAAAATCAGTTTGACGAGTAGACACACTTTGTCAGGTCTCCCGTGGCTTTTCCTTTCCCCTGGCAATTGTCCTGTGTGCACATCTGCAAATTGCATCTCTTGTCAACGCATCAGAACCGCTAATGCAACGCCATTGCCTGCCCCTGCCTCAGCGCTGGGTTCAATACACAAATTGACAATTTTGTCATGTCTTCATCGGGAAAGAGGAAGGCTCACATCGCTATTTTAAAGTTTTCATTTGGTGGACGAAAGCAGTTCAAAACTCCAGAAAGATGCCAAAAAAACAAGCACACGCCCATGTGCAATCAAGAAATTCAGGTAAGGGATTTAAGCAGAGGCGATGCGCTCACCAGCCTCATTAATCAGATGCTAAAACGACAATCAGGCCGACCAAGCCATGTGGGTGAGGTAAGATCCGAGAGGAAAGTCAAGACCACCCGTTCGAGTACAGGTAGGTAACACAGCAGACGCACCTCTTGGGAGACGCGGGGACCATCACCGATGCCCGTGTGGATAATGTACTTGATCTGATCGGGCTCAGCCACGGGGAAGCTTTGCAGCTCGGGAGCAATCTCGGCTTCAGGGACGCTGGTGGTGCGGCCCTGCACGTAGGTTGCCGGGGTAGACGAAGGGAAGCAGCGTGCGACGAGGGCAATAATGTCGGGAATGTCCTTCTTCAGGGCATAGATGACGCAGTTGGGTCCCGCATCATAAGTGTACGCGGCACGAGGCGAGCTACTTTGGGCGTTGAACTTGGTCAAGAGCTGGATAATGGCGCGAGAAGTGTCATTCAGGTAGAAAATCGGGGGGTACGTGTCCAGACAGGTGGCGTGAAACTGGTTGCTATCCTTCATGGGATTCCGCA